TAGTTCAGAGTTTGGTCATTCGCTTTAAAGAGCCAGGATCATACAGTCTGGATTAAAGTTTTTAAGGTATATGAAAAAAACAAACACAAAACAAAAAAGCCCAAACCAGGCATCCAGAAACCATAACATACAAAGGGAATTGAGAAGTTACAGACCAAATCCAAACTTTGAAAATCCACTCCTTAGTATCTACCATATCAGCCTGTTTCCGCATGTATGATTTCTATACTTCCACTTGACTTTAACATCTTTGCTCTGCAAGCCAACTCCTAGCAGGTAACCCAGCCTTCTCCCCTTCTTCCACCAACACATGCTCACCCAGCATGAACATACCTGTATTCTTCCTCTTCTTTGGAGTTCTTTTTGGGTTGGTATTTTTTTGAAAGATTCCTAGAATTAAAAATACATATATGTAAAGTTATCTCCTTTAATTAACTGGGTAATACTTGCATGCACACACAATCTGTGGGGCTTTGGTTGTTACTACACACCTTTTCAGAAGTATGAGTGCCATTAGGCTTTGATTGCGCTGTAGTAACACTCAAAGAATGGGCTGCACAGTGCTTCAGTCTCTATAACCACTATAAAATATCAGATTCTCAACCTGACAAGTTAATAAATTAAGGTCACGAAGTCAATACACCTGAGTTATAGTTCTGCTGATGCAGAAGTCTCCTTCACCTGATTAAAGGAGAGATCCTTTTTCAGTAAAAATACTGGCCTTGGACACACAGACATGCTTTACAAACTCCACACAGTAGAAGGTGCTACTCCATATCCAAAGTCAGCTGGCTCGTTAACGCGTGATGTGCTGCAGATGACACGCATGGCCAGGCAAATTTGCCTGCCTACAGCGGGATGCTTCCAAGGAAGGAAAAAGTCTTCATAAAGCTGTGGAAAGCTACACTGCGATGACAAAAGGGAGAGCTTTTCATGATTATCAACTGGTGCTGGGAGAAATGTGAAATCTGACTGTCTCAATTAGCACAGATACTTGCATCTCATATTAACCCACAGCCAACTAATGATTTCATTTGAAATACTGATACACTCTTCAAGAGATCGTATCTTGAGTAAGAAATGTGAGCATAACTCTGTCAGCACATTTGACAGTAAGTACATCGCTTTCATTGTCCTGGAGGCACTGACTAGGAGTCCCCGGCCAGCAGCAAATCAAGGGTTTCATGAAGGTGTGCTCTCCACCTCACACTCAGCACCTTGTGATACTTAACGCTCAACATTACAATGCATATTGCACTGTAGCTCAACACAACACCACCCATCCTTTAAGCAATGCAAACCAGAGAGCTGACACATCTTAGCAATTTTAAGACCTTTTCAGGGCTGCAGTACTGGGATCTCCCCTATTCTAAACTCAGCCCTATTACTATGTGCCTTCCTGCAGCCCCTCTTGCCCTGCTGGGAAGTGGAAACCGTTTGTTTTAGCTTCACAAGGTTGTTTCAGCAATTAAGAATAACGTACAAGTGGTACTGATGGAACTGCTGTCCAAAGGACTACCAAATTTCATTGACTTATATCTGTGCCAAACTCTTTGAAGGACTCCCTGAATGCATCCAGTTGAAGATAAACTGTGTTTTCAGAGGTGTAACCTGCTCCTGTTGCGTGCTGGTTTTACTGCTAACTGGGAGACAGCAGGGCCTCATCCCACATTTCTTATTCCTTGTGTTCTCCTTAAGGAATCAAGGAGCATCTGCCCAAACAGAGTAGTAGCCAGAACCCTGGCAGATTTGCACAGACAAACATGTGTTTATCAAAATGTAAGGGATCCAAATGAGCATCTCCTTTCCAGTCCCTGCCTTCTCTGAAAAGGGGATCCTCTGAAACAACGAACTTTTCTCTAGTTCTGCATGCAGCAGCTTCAACCAAAGAATACCAACATGGCAAGAGTCCTGCAAACTGTTCTGCCTGATTACAGTCAGTCTTGCAGCACTCTGGATGCCGTGGGAATGCCTCCCTCCACACACCTGCTTAAAGAGGAAAGGAAAAACCACAAGAAAACATGCACAGGAGGATACTCTAAGAAGGCATTTTCAGACACACTTAAAGCGCGTGTATTCCCACACTGTCATGTTGCCCAATTAATTCTGACATACACAGATGCTGTCTTCTTGTGCATCTTTAAAGGTGCAGAAATGCTAGAGTTAGGGCAAAAAGACAGTATGCTTTCACAGAAAAAAAAGATTCTGTAAGCATGTAACAACCACTAGCACCTGGGCTAAACATTTTAGTATTATCTGTGTCCTTTATAACACATAAAATGTAGTATATCTGACTTCATATTTTTCCCCATCTTTTTTTTTTTAATCAAACACATAGGTAGGGTTTTAACCAGGACACGCACAAAAAACCCCAGAAGTGATACTGAAACCAGAAGCATTGCTGAAGTTCAGCATGCAGTAATGCAGTGTCATGCCCAGAACACCAGCACTTCCCAGGGTCAAGCTCATGAAGCAATGACACCTTCAGAGCTAACACTGATGAAAGAGGGAGCTAACACATAAGAACAAACCCTATCAGTAAAACTAGTGATTCTGTAAAGATTCTGTGCTACCTGTGCACCTGTCTCCAATCCATGTTATATGCCTTTCACGCTGCATAATTTTTCCTGCCTTTGCAGCTTGTGTGTTCCCTTATTTCCACTTCTTTGAGACATTGCTCTCACATTTATCATCCATCAGAGGTTCCCAATTCTTAGATTATCCTGATATCATAAGCATTTTTTTCCAATAAGTCTTCCTCAAGGCTATCTATCCATCATCATATTAGGCAAGGCTTTTGACACGCTTTGTGATGCTCAGAGTGGGTGCTGTGAGCAGGGACAGGTGAACACTCTGCCACAGTTTCTGTGTCCCTTCCTTCCCAGACTAGTTTAAAGACTCACCAATTACAATGTAAAACAAATAAGAAAACAATCATGTCCAGTCTGAACTGGGCTCTAAACCCAGGACTGATTGTACACGGTACAAGCAGGACTCGAGCAGTGCAGGCACAATGCAGGTTTGTGACGCTGGGGGGTTTCTTCCAGTGGTGTAACCAAATTTGATGCATCCTGCAAGTATGTAGATCTAACTTAACACTTTTAAAACAAAATATTACATATATATCTGCAGAATTATAATGAGGAAGGAAAGATTTTTAAATAAAGGCCAATTAAACTGCAATAGATGAGCAGGCTGAGATGGAGATAGGATAGCTAGACAGGGAGCCCTGAGACCAAGCAGAAAACACAAGTTTCACAAAAGAAAATTAAGTTCAGCAGCTTAACTTAGACTATAAATAAAACTCCAAGTTAAATCCACAGGAGTATCTTGCATTAATTTGTCCCTTTTTAATAGTATGTCTGCATGCTATGGCATACAGTGACATGCTGCAGCCCTTCTGCACCACATGGACGTGACACAAGAAAGGTTTGCACCAGCCTTGAGGAGACTTATTAAAAGCAGATGCATGATTTTTTTTTCTTGATGTCCAGTACTGTTTTATTTCAACATTTAACAAGTTTACGTTTTGTTTTTTCTTTATACCTCTAACTTAGAAGCCTCCAAACAGCACTGTGTTTAAGAGCTCCTCAGAGCTGAATGTATTTGTCCTCAAATCATACCCATGGGTGGGGGAGACAAATGCAGCTACACATGGGGAATTAAAATACAGAGAGAAGAAACAAACTGACCAAGTTTGTTTTAGAAGTCCAGGACAGACTAAGAAATAAAACTCAAGAGTTCAGAGCTTCTAGATCGTCACAGATAAACTATCTCCCACTGTCCTTAAACATTTTGTGTGCTTATTTTCATAATTATACTCTTTACACCTGAAATTTGTCATATTAAGAAACTTGCTGAGTCTAGTGATTCTTCATAGAACAAGCCTGCTCACACAGATACCGTGCTGGGGTTTCCCAGTCCGGTCATACTCTTTCTTCCAGCTCATTTTGCCTCTGTAATTCAATCTCTTCTCATCTCCATAGGATGTGAGCAATTTGTTCCTGCAAGAGTCATCTTCTATTTCCTGCTTGTCTATAGCAGAAACCCTGGGGAATCCTTGTGGCAATCCCCTGAGAAAGCACATCACCATAAAGGCGGGGTTGTATCGGCTAGCAGCTCCTCGTAAATAACATGCCATTGTGCATCTCAAATCCATTCCACCACAAGCATTCTGGATGATTTTTTTTTTTAATTAGATATATACTGATCAACTAGAACCTTAATCTCTATAAATACTGAGAAGACAGAGGGAGTTCTAATATGTATTATAGTCATGTAAAAAAAGGTATGGAGTTACTGGAGGGGTTCGGAAGGATTAGTCCTGCACTCGCCTCCCCAGTTAGCTCCAGCACCTTCAGTTTATCCCTCCGGACACTAGTGGCAGCCAACGATATTGCACCGCAGCCTCTCCGCAGCAGAGGACTGTCTGTGTGTTGTACTCCCTTCTAACCCCTCTTCACCTCTCGTTTTAGGTTCTTAGTACCCCTTCCCCTCCCCTTTCACACTGTATCTGAGCTCAAGGAATATGTTTTCTGGGTCTGGTTCACACATACTCGTCTCTTTACCTACAACCTGACTTTTTTTTCCCTACACCCTGACTGCTGAACCAGACGTAAAATGTACATAGCAGGAATTTCCAGTACTTCAGCTACTTGAGATAAATTCACAGGGTCTCTGCAAGAACAGTGGCAAAATTCCAGCCTCAGGCTGCAACCCAGCTAACTACACAGACAAAACTTCAAAGGGCTGCGACTGACTTTCTGACCTGCAGTTTCTCCAACACACATTCATAAAGAGCCTGTCGTATGAAAAGAAACCCTAAACTTTGCCTTACAACAAATGATCCTTATTCTGCTGAATTCTTAAACCCTTCAGCATTTACGCACAGCAATCCTAATTTCATGGAAAACATTACAATGCTGTCCTCAAAGCCTGAGCCATTAATCACGCATAAATCACGAGTAAGCTCTAGTATGCTACTCAGTCACCTAAATAACCTTTGCTTTTGCAAAGCCTATGATTTTTAGCAGAGATAATAAAACAGTATCTTAAATTAACTTCAGCGTTCCATTCTCTAAATTAAAGCTATTTGCTAAAAGCCATTATTACAAACAAAACAAATGACCGACACTGAAACAGTAAACTTACAGATGAGAGATGCAACTCAAAGTCAAGAACTTTACATATCAACTTACCTAAGCTGCTTTGCATAGCTGAGTTCAATCTCTGTTCTTTCCTTTACAAACTTGATGTATTTTTCCAGAACATCAATACCCCATTGCGTGTGTTTTTCTAAGTTGTCAAACTGGTCCTGCAATTAATCAAAAAAACCAGTTTAGTCTCATTGAACATAGAGATAACTAAAAATAATTTCCAAGGTGCATATCACCATAAAATGTTATTAATATTTTCCACTACCATAGTTAGACATTTTCGTAGCAACACAGGTTTTTAATCAACGGAAATGTCTTTTAACATGAGACTAATTCAGTAACATTCTTCATTACTTCTGATTCAGTCTCATTTCAGAAATCCTGGCAATTCTACTGAATGCAATCTTCTATTATAAATACATACTTGGAAAAGGACAAGAAATAGATACTCTCACCAGTATTTTATTTTACTGTGTACAGTTAACAGGAGTTCCATGAATTAGACTTACACTCAAGCTTTGTCAATGTTATGAACTTAAAATACTATTTTGAACAGCTAACAATCTTTTTACAGAACAGGATTTACCTCCCCTGGAGCATATTTTGTTCTAAAATAGAACATCTGCTAACAAATGATGCCACAAAAAAATGACATTAGCTATGTTTACAGTAAGTTTTCTGGTCTACCTCCATTTACACACAGACACTACTTTGTTCTTCAAATATTGTTGCCCTCAAAACCAGTCGCACATGTTTTCAATAAAATCTTTTTCAATCAAGAACATTCCACAAGTCAGTTTGGGATTTGCAAATGCCAAGAGAAATTAAGCAACTCTAAATCCAAATTAATTACCCAAGCCAGCTTATTACTATCTGCAGATTTAACCTAAAATTACCTTATTTTTAAAAATTTTGTTACTTAAACAACACTGAAATTCCATAATCATCCATTCTACACAGCATTTCAGAATAAATATTCTTAATATGATACAGTCAATACTTATCCTGACAGAAACACAGCGTAAACAAGGTCTTTAATATCAGCCTGACTTATTTGGCATCAGGTTCCATTCTGGTTTACAAGGAAAACAGAGAATAAATTTCTACATCTGCAGTACAAAGGTTAGATTTACAGCATTTTCCAAACAATTGTACGCAGCAATAGATCTGGGTCAGATGCTTTGCTGCCACAATTAAAGCTTCTGAGAGAAGTGATGCTTCTTTCTATCTGCCAAAGATTTGGTCTTGTGACTTTCAGTTTGCAGAGCTATCATCGAATGCTATCAAAGCAATACAAGCCACTTCCTCAGATGCACAGAGCAGAAAACTGCTACAAAGCCCCGTTTATAAATACGTCGCTCTTTCTGCTTTGTAGCATATCTGGCTCTGACAGTGAGTTAGATCGGCGTCAGGAAAGATTCTTCCAGCACTGAAGAAAACAGTCATGCACAGAGAAGCTGCTACTTGCAAACAAAACTGCTTTAACTGGATTTTGAAGGGAAGAAATAGGAACCACGCTAGAGGCAGAAAATTCGCAAAGCTCTATCAAGAAGCTAGTTAAGAGAGCAGGTAATATGCATGGAATAGGACACACAGGGTTTGTGCATCTATGTTATTTGCTCTGGTTTAGCATAAGGTACTACTTTAAACAAGTTCAGCCAAAGCAGAGGAGGCTTCAGTTTATGTCACTATTGGTCCATTAAAGAGGCACTGGGGGGAGAACAGCAAAAGGGCAAGAGGATAAAGTTACAAAAATAGTAAAGAACTTCTAAGCCTTGTGCTCCAGGAACTAAGAAAAAGTGGTTAAGGGCAACTGGGGGAAGAAAAAAAGAAAAAAGGAAGATTCAAACCACACAGAATAGAAGCCTGACTTCCAGCAACATAAATCACCCTTAAACCAAAGTAACACCATTCACTCAAAAAGAAGATGTATGTATTCTGCAGAGAGGGCAGACGTGCACTCAGCCAGTACGCATTTGCATATAGACAAATCCTTATTTCAGACAATTTCACAGCTGGGGAGAATACAAAGACGACATGGGTAACATCACAGACCTTTCCTCCTCCCAGAGGGCTGGGATCGGGCAGGAACACGGTGTGCTGTCTGGAGTACCATGCCAGCACAGCAAGGCACCGCTGCTCTGCTTCAGATCTACAACCTCTACATCTCTCAGATTATGCTGGCGTCAAGAAAAGCACTGCAAACATGACCTTTTAAAGGTTTCTGATAAAGATGTTTTATCCCACACCCAACTCTTCCACAATTTACATTATTTAACATAAACACATCCATAGAAAATAAATACCCCAGGGGGCAGTCAATTGCTTGCAAGTTTACATCCCTTCACATTCACTCCCAATTTTGACAAGGGAGATCTCAGGGAGGGAAATCCACTCCCTAATCCCTGCAAGCAAATTAAACCACCCTTATCAGATATACCATACCAGTAGCAAGACATTTAACTTAGCATCCCTACTGTAGCCCCATCCAGAAAGGAAAGGTCACAGTTTCCCGTAGGGCAGCTGCCTTTCCACCAGACCTGCCCTTCGAGAGCACTCAGCCTGCTGACTGCACAGAAAGAGCAGGTTCACCCTGGAAAGGCAATCTTGGTGCTGGTGGCTTGTCCAAACCTCTTCCATCACCATGACTCTGACTCCATTCTCAGAGTAGCATTTAGATCAGAATATGAATAAAAACCTGCAAATAGCTCCAGGTAGCTGCCTCAGCTGGGTCTGTTATCTCACAGATGGATCTGCTGGACTGTTTCAATGGCCTCACTAGGTCAAGTTTGGCAAAAGAGAACTCCATGATGTGCAGCGCAAAGGGGAGTACACGGTGCTGCAGCTGTCAGAGACACCAACTGTGTGAAGATGCTAACTTTCTATTTATAAAGCCAGCAGAAACTCATGTCCTGCGCCAAGCTGTAACCAGAAGAACCTCAACTAGATGAACGACAAGCACTGATCTCCGCAATCAAAAAGCAAGGCAAAATTTAACTCCTTTCTGCAAGCTTTGCTTAAGATAGGAGTTTCTGTCCTTTTCCGGGCATTGAGCAGTTTTGGCCAGAGTGCCATTTGGAGCCAGCGCCCCACAGCAGTGTGTTCCAGCAGGGTCATGGATTGCATTATCAGTTCTCCTTTTTTTTTTTCATCCTTAAGGAACACAAAGTTAAATTGGCAACACCATCAGTTGCTGAGCATGAGATTCCAAAGGAAAGGCTGTGCAGCTGGAGGGACCTAACACAGATAGTCCTCCTTGTTTCATGGCTCAGCAGCTGAAGGTAGGCACAGGCTCTGTGTTGAAGCTAACGAAGCACGGTGATGAGAGCACACAGAATGCTTTGATCGCAAAGCATAACCTTTAATTCATGGAATCCCAAAGTCCACAGATACATGCAATCAATGAAAAAACAGAACATCTGAAAAGGAGACTTTTGAGAGTATTTACCAACAACATCATCCCTTCCAACAATAAACATTTAAAGGGTTTTTAAAATTAATCTAGTATTTCCAAAGTTCATTACAAAAACGCATTACCACTTGGTATATGAAAAGTTCAGAAAAATCTCAACTATTCTGTAGCAAATCTGGTCTAGTTTTATTATCCTAAATCTTGTGAGGTTTATCATCTCAGCTGTGAAGGAACTTGTCTGCACAACCAGGCACAGTCTAAACTGAGCAGCACATGGTTTCAGCACAAAATGCACCATCCTGCCAGTGACAGATACACGTTTAGCAGGTAAAGTGTGCCCCTACAGCTGTGCAGGCGCAGTCATCAGCTGGAAGCTGGCGCAGTACCTCCATGAGCTGCTGTTTCAGTTTTCAATTTCAATGTACATTATTGTCTTCCACTCATTTTTGCAGCCTCTTCACCCTTCCAGTTTGGGATAACATTAGAAAACAATAAATTCCATAAGGCTTTAGCATTCTTCAAAAAAAGCAAGAAAACAAGACAAGAAGCATGTCACAGTGTTCAGTGCGAGTACTCCCACCAGACCACAGCCAGGGGGGAAACAAAAGGTCACTCCGCACCTGTTTTCTCTGAAAAGGAAACACCAAAACATTTTCTAGAAGCATTCACTACTTTCCTCTGACTCAGAGGCTGGTTTACATATAAGAACACTCTTGAGCACACTACTGTACTGACAGCGAGTTGTGTGTCTCAGCAGGCTCCCACCAGAGCCTTCACGTTACCGTCTATCTCCTTTGGCTTTCCAACCTGCCAGATCTCATGTTCTCCCATTTTCAAGTCTCTATACTTATTTACTGTGATGTCAACACAGACTTTTGATTGACAATCAAGACGTGCACATAATTAAACTACTCATACAGCTGTAACATGTTCCTCTTCACCAGATTCCACCAGCTTCCCAACGGCAGCAGCGTGCGCCAGGACAAACACTTCACGCTTCCCCAAATGATGGAGGAGTTAGAATACACGAGCTGACCTGCCTGACTTCACGTGGGCGGAAAGCAGAGCCTCTGCTGCAAGCTGCTTGAAATAAACAGCATCTTCGTATTCGGTCTGAGCTTAACACATTCTTGAGCATGCACACAAAAAATAAAGCTCAGAAGAGTTAAGAACAACTTTAGTCATTAACTTGAATGGGAACTGGACATCCAAGTGCCCAGAATGCTTTGAAAATTTTATCCCAAAGGCAAAGTGTGCTTCTAACTTCATTTCTGTTTCCATTAATTCTTTCTCGGTATTTTTACCGCTGTCCAAATAACCTCACAGTCATGCATTCTTTCTGAAACTCAGCTGCACGCTTGTTACACTGACTATGCTTAAAATGGAAATTGTGCTGCCTGCTTGCTTCTCCTCATTTTAACAGCGACGTTAAGCTGTCAAATCCCCTCACTCCTCAATTCATATTCCCCAGCAATGCAAGGTATTTTGAGAAGTTAGCCATTAAAAACAAAAGAAAGAAAAGCTTTCTTCCTATTTCTAACCCACATAACATGGAGTACAACCAATTATTGAGCAATAAAGAAAGTGTTATTCATGTGGTCTTTGAAGATCAGCTCAGTAAGATATTCCTTCCTCTTTCAGGAGTGCTTCCATCTATTGTGAAATAGTTCAACCCAGGGCTCATTCAGATCCAGGGATGGATAGAACCTTAATCTGCCACCAAGGGGCTTCAGCATCCCCTGCAATAAAGGGAGTGTCCTCCACTCCTTGAGTTACAGTCTCAGGCTGTCTGCAGCCAGACAACCTCCCGCAGGTCGCTGTGCTTGCCGGCGCTGGTCAGTGCTTTTCACAAACAGGGAGGCTGGTGACTTGGAGTCAGCTCCACCATACAGCTAGGCCAGAAGTCCTGTTTAGTTTCAGGGGTGAACAAAATATTAGATTCTGGGAGACTTTACCAATTAATTCTGCAATTTTAACCATCATGTCAAACCTGCTCAGACTAGACTGTAAGCAGGCTGAAGCATCAGTCCTTCTGCTGCTTTCACAGGTAGCGGTGCAGCCGTGCTAAATTAAGAAGAATGCTAATATAGGGGAAGTAGTGAAGAAAGAAGATGCTGAAAGTTCAGCTGCTAATAACAGAAAAAAATAAAGCCTTTATATTTTGCATATTCCTCCTCTATTTCTAATCTGGCAAGATAACAAAAGACCCGTGGTTCTTAAACATTAAAAATATTTGATGACTTTCTACTACCTCATTCTCCACTCAGTTTGATTCCATTTCCTCCCAAAATGACTTATTTATCCACTATCCTAAAAACACAAGTAAAATAGGGGAAATAAATGCTGATTTTCACATCTGTTCATACCTTCTCCTCCCACATCCCTCTCTTTAAACACTCTCACCCATTTCCATAGGCAAAAAGGAATTAAAGATCAAGAATACATTACAGTGTTCAAATTCTAAATTACTTTTTAAAATTCCATGGTTTAACAACTTCAAATTAGAAAAATAATTAACAAGATGGTGAGACCTTCATAGGCTCAGTTAAGTCCCATATGGCACAACAGTGCTTGCAGGATACAGCAGAATTCAGATCACAGATCCTCAGAGACCTACAATAAAGCTATATGCAAATGTAAGTCTTCAGAGAAATTAATAATGAAAGAAAACACATAAAGTACAGGGTACCACTGCAAAAGCCTTCCAGAAAAGAGAGATGAGCAGAATATACAAAAGCACTTCAGCATCTGTTGACTCAGCCACTACTGATGAGAGAACTTCCCACACAAAACTTGTCGGCTGTAGTCAGTGAAATCCTCAGCTAATGACAACTGAACGAACCCGTGTTTATATACGTGTTCACTATGTTAAGTACAAAATGGAGTACAGGACACTTACCTTTTGCTTCATGCAGCACCGACAAGGAGGACTAATAGCACCATGGAAGATATACCAATGGTACAGACAAACCATCTCTTTCTGGTTTACATTCAAATGATACTATGGCTTTACCGGTTGTTTTATGAATCTGTCCTTCCACTACCCCGTATATCCGGTTCTCGTTCACAAAACTACTTATGATCACATGCATTTTTCATGCAGATCTCCTATACATCCACGTGTTTAATTTCATTTTACCCTTTAAGTATTAAATAAATTCCTGACCTTTCACCTTAAACAGGTATATTCCTGCTTGAGCTCAAACAAAAAATTCATCCTACCTTCCCACCTCCACTTGCTCTTCATCCCTCAAACTCTATTTCCAATAAAGCCCAAAGGGTTTTTAACTACTCTTTTATCTCTTCTGATTCACCTCAAACTTGATCTAGTCAGGAGAAAACAGAAATAAAAATAAGATTCTTTGCTACATCATTAGGCAATGGAGTACATTTCAAACTTGGGGGGCAAATCCCAGAAATGAAGAGCTGAAACAGACTATATTTTATGTTGCTAGACAAAGTCACCTCTAATTGTCCTCCTTGTTCCAATAAACATTATGAATTGAGCAGTTACTGGTCTGTATTTAATCTTTGCTTACTCTCTTTAGCATTTTGCTGAAGCTGTAAAGCAAAACATGTTCTAATATTTATTTTAATTTGGATTTCAAATAATGTCACCCCAGTATAATAGCAAGGCCCTTTGCACAGCAAAGGGTGGCAACAGGGAGTAACCCTCTTAATTGCACCTGAGACCAACCCTGCTCATCCCCACCCAGAAAACCACCTTCCACAAACTCAAGAGTGACCTCTCCTGCTAATTAGGCAGAAGTGCTGTCTCACAGACAGGTTTCAGCCATCCCCTAACCCTGCCTTGATGGGAACTTGACTGAAACCAAACAAGAAGTGCTTCTGACCCAAAGCCACCGGAGCACACAGAGGCCAGCACCTGGAGAGCAGAACGAACGTTACAGCTGTGCTCAGACAAGGCTAGTTCTGGGAGTACAACCAGATCCTCAGGGCTGACAGGGAACAAATGGAATTGCAACATCTAATAAAAAGACCCACCTACAGTAGAGGTGCGTAGGTACATCCCCCACCAAGAGAAATGCTGAGCTCGTCTTCATAGTAGCGAAGCTTAGAACCTCGTAGAGAAGACGATGAACACCACCAGACTCTAAAACTCAGCAGCAGGTTACAGAGAGCAGAACAAACAGCAGTGCAAAGCCAACTAGCGAGCTTTGAAAGCAGAGAAGGGAGGGAGAGCGACTGGCAGCAGCAGCACAGAGCATCAGGTTGGCACCAAGACCCCTCTGCCTGCCCGACAGGTCCCCGCGAGCACAGCCCGAGTGCTGGCGGTGGTGACCCACTTTAACACCTATTATGGAAGCCTTGCAAAACCTGACACGTGGTTCACGGGAGGACACTTCCCTGTGTGAGTACAACCAGTGTCATCAACT